GGTAATATTATTTATAGTCCTTCTTGTAGATATAAAAAATTGCTTATCATTAATTTGGCACTTAGTTAAGGCACTAATATTTTCTTATACTTCAATATTTGGCAGCATGTTTTCCCTTTCAGTTCAACAATTCTTTAATGTGTGATACTGTTAGCTAAAGCTTGTTGCTGAAGAGAAGCCTTTTGACAGAATTTTGGAGTTTGCACTGAAACAAAATAGGGTTTGAGGTGTTATTCCAGTGTTTTTTCTTGAAAGCTTTAATACATGCCAAAAAAAAATAATCAAAGTTGTAAGAGATATACAGGAACGTTACTGGTGTTCAGTTACAGATCTGTTTTTTTTTAACCTGACTAGTAAATTAATCTAGATTTCTCTGTCAGGAAGCCGTCTGCATGGTCTCAAATGACAAATATTATTTCTGAAAAGACAGCGAAAGCAAGTGACACTTCTCTAGGATTTCTGCTGTGGTTTTAATCCACATAATAATCATACTATATATATTTAAGGAACTACTGCTAATTAAAGATGTACTCTTCAGAAAACAACTCTAATTATGATATGGGAAGTGAGAAATTTGTGAGCTGACAAAAAAATAAGAGTGCCGGAAGGTTAGATTTTATAAAAGAATATTCAACATAGAGCTTTAACACCTGGAAGACCAGTAGTATTTAGATTGACAACAAAATGAATGCATAGGCAAATGCAAATGAGAACTTCCAGTCCTCAGACATATACCATGGTGTCAGCCAGGAAGTTGATTTTCCTCAGCATGCTGAAAAGGAGGATGGGCAAGCTGTGGGCAAGAGGAAATCGGTACCTCTTCTATGTCACCTTACAGTGTTTCATGGAAATCAGATCAATGTTTTCCCAGTTTTTGAAGGGAGTTGTATTTGCAGGTGATGACTATATCCTGCATGAACTTTGTAAACTGGCGCAATTATTCTAATAAACCTTTGTCATGGTTGATGGAAAAGATTCACTTAATGCTTTAGAAGCTTCATCTTATGGCATATGGACATACCCAAATGTTAATTACTGTCTAAATAGATTCACTGCCTAACCTACATAAAGGATTTTTAAGGCAAAAGCACTACTTTTGATCTGGAGTTCCTTGTGAAAGCACAGAGTTAAAGTACTTGGGGCATCCAAGATTATTTCTGTGCCTAGGGTGCAAATGTGTTATGCTTTTTCTCTGCTGAATTTCTCACTAAAATGATGATGGCCAGAATCAATGGCAAGTAGTTCTAACTGATGTTTGAACTACCTGGCTCTGAAAATGAATAAGAGAAAAATCATTGTTCTGGCAGCTGCATTAGCAAGCAAACTCACAGTATGGATTCATTATGTTTTCTGCACTTTTCAGAGTATAAAGTTAAGGCATGGCCATTATGAAAATGGCTTTATGCTTTGAGCTCCAGACAACTCCAGAACATGGGGTGCATTAATGATGTGGCCCCTGTGCAGCTGTAAAGGATCAGCTAAATATGAAATCTGCATCCCATACTGCCTCCTGTGAAGCTGTGTAGTTCCCTTGTTAATATATTTATGGTAGGGCATGAGCCAAGGTTGAAGTATGTTAGTAGTAGGAGGTAAGTTTCTCAGAAAGTAGAATACAGTACTGAGAATCTCTGGCTTGTCCTAAACATCTTAGAGGTCTGCAAGAATGATGTTGAACCCAGTCAGTAGAGCAAAATTCAACAGCTCCTTACCTGAAGTCACAGCTCATCTCAACTGCGAGGTTCTTCTTCCTCAAAAAGGCTTTACTTTGTGTCTCTGTATATCTAGTACTTGCCCTCACTAGGTAAGGTGTTTAAACAATTTAAAGCATGTTGAAATACTGCAGTAATGGCAGAAAAAAAGAAATTCCCTTCTCCATGGCTTTCTGCCATGTCAGCTGAGCAGATTGAATTGTGCCAGCTTCGAGGGTGGTGTTTCCTCCTGCTCATTCTCTGAGTCAGTGGCAGACAGGCCTGGCCAGGACTGGCATGTGCGGATGCAGTGGAGAATGATGAGCTTCCACAGGCCTCACGGGAGAGTCAAAGAAAAGCAGGTAAGTCATCTATTTAATGCTGCAATAAGTGTTTAGTTGGTGACATGTAAGTTAGCTCTGTATGAAAAAAATATTTATGATTTAAAAGGTATTTTCCCTTTCTGTGTGGGTGTTAGCCTCTTTTTGTGTGTGTGTAGATGAAATAATCTGGTAGTTTATACTGAAAGAAAATTGTCTTGCACAACTCAGCCATCTAGAAAATAATATTCTTGAATCATGATGCTATTTGGATTGAATCCTTTCTTGTGCTTAATGGTCTGTCTTCTTATTAGTGAGTGATATAATCCCCAAACTCCCCTTCAGCAAGTAGTGTAAACAAGCACCTAAACATTGAAGCTGTGACTGACCAAAAATAGTGCAGAGTGCTGGCAACTGGATTTAAAAAGGATTGATCAAAGAATGTATGTGCAAAAATTGAGATGGAGAATAGAGTATCCAGGGTTTTCCAGTTAGCTTTAGGACTGGAGGCTGGATATGTCACTGCAGGTCTTGAAAATGAGCAGTTTGTCAGCCAACTGTATATGGATTCCGCTAAACCAGGGGTCAGTCTGGGATAGGTGCTTTAGGATAAGAGGGCAAATCTTCCTAACCATAGGAAAAAAGACTATTCGCCTGGTTTTAGTAAAATCCAGTTGATGGCTACTGGTTATAAGGATTTTCTAAAGCAAGTATTTTGTCCATGTTCCCTAAAAAAACACTCATGATTAAGTAAATCTTTTAAAATCAGTTGTGTATGTGACTGTAATATACATAAGTGATTTCACTTCCACTTATCTCCATGAATTTTTCTATAACTACCTGATATTGTGCTGAGGGAGGATGTAAGAGTTATTGCTATGCATTGCTCATAGTTTCAGAAGCCTGATTTAAGAACCATGACACCATTACGTTAGTAATTGCCCAAATAACATACTAATAACCATTACAGTTACTGCAGGAGGGGATTTCTTCACTGCAATATAATGAAATGTAGAGCTGCAGGGAAGTATTTTAAAACTAGGAGATGTGATACACTGGTGATGCAATAGATATTTCTTGGAAGGAATTTATGGTTGTTTTACATAGTGATCTTTTTTCTGCTATCATGGTGGGTGCTGCTACCATTTTGAGATTAAATAAAAGCTTAAGAGCAAGTTAATTTATTTCTGCTTATGTTGGTCTTCAGTGGTCTTCTAGATGATGAGCTGTTCTGAGTATCTTTTGCTTTGCTAACTTCTAGAAGTATCCATACAGCACAGGACACTAGTCTTTTCAGTCTAGTGTTTGGTCTGTTGCTTTGTCTGGATTATAATATGACCGATATTTTAGGAACTGGCCTGTGAACAAGGACAGAGAGATCTGTGTAGGCTTCTGCCAAGAAATGCTGGACCCAGTGCCTTGGAAGAACTGTACAAAGCCAGCACCTGTAAAACGTTAACATTTCATATGCATACTGTTTTTCTGAAGTCAAACAGGACTAAAAATATGTGCTGAAAGCGTGCAGGCTTCTATCAAAAGAAAATAAGTTGGTCTAGCTAATAATTATTAGATGAAACCATGTATTAAAGTAACATCTCAGCTAGTTAAACATTGGGGTCATACTATCCTCACAGAAATCAAAGTATCTTTGATTTTTTTTTTTAAGTTTTAAAGAACTTAATATCTAGAAAGAAGAGTCTTCAAAAAAGATACAAGGATCCCGTAAGTCTAACCAACAGGTCTGTTGTGATCTGACTGGTATCACAGTACTTTGCAGACAAAGATATAAGGCATCTGAAGAGGAGGAGGAACTAACATATTTTGAGTATATCTTTACCCCTGTGTTCTCTGGGTGTCACAGTGCTTTTATAGAATTTAAGTAGATATGGAACTGGGTAGTAGCAGGCAGTTCAATGTCATTTACTATATATTTCAGGTAGGAAGTACGTATTATGTGGAACTTCATCTCTGATTATCCATTAGAACAAAAGGACTTTTTCCCCTTCATGGACTTGCCTTTTTGGCAAGGGAATCTGCCTGAGTCTCTTTGAAACTATCTTTGACATAAGCATAGCAATCTTTACTATATTTAAGTAGAAGAAGTGGCAACAAGATTGATCTTGGTAAGGCAGTATGAACCACAGGGGATTTGGTGTACATTCTCCAAGCTGATTTCTGACTTTGTCTCATCTCCCTGAGTTCCTAAATTTAGACTGTGAAATACATACTTGGAAGCAGAAATTAATATTAATGGTTGTTTTTCAGAGTATTTGCATATGAAGGTCTCTTTGATGGTACTCAGTGCCACTCTGTACCATTAGATAGAGGCTGTCTTTCAGGTATTTGAGTGCAAAATTTGAGCTATGAGTGTAATTGGTCTAAATTTTTAGTGACTAAGGGAAAAAAAAATACTTAGAAAATGTTGAATTCTTAACTACACAAAAGAAGTATTTTGAAGATCACTAATATATGTGAAAGCTTTGAGAAATCAATACAAGCAGATGAAGAACAGAACTCTGCTTCAGGTTTGTGTCCTATAGGCTTAGCAGAAAATAGACATCCTTCAGGAGCAAAGAAACTGCAGAGTCCCTTTTCAATGTATAGCTCTCTTCAACTGGTTTTCTAAGAGCTACTGGAAATGAAAAGGAGCCTGACTGCGTGGACCCACTGAGAATGGAAGCTCAGAGCAAATGAGGGAGCTGGAAACGTTTGCAGATTTCAGGCCCCACCAGTATAAGACATATTTGGATAACGAGGAACTGAGTGTCATATATAAGGGAGGGAAGCAGATGGAAGATGCACATTTATGGGAAGTGACTGAGTAGCATTTGTAGAATAGGCATGGAAAATGGTTAACAGAACAAATATATGAAAGATTAAATATAGAAAGGAGATGAGATTAATGTACTGAAAACTAGCTGCAAATGATGCGATCTGCTCTGGACAGGCTGTTCTCTTTTCTCTGTTCTTGTATCATCCCCATCGTATCTAGGCACTTAACTGACAGATGAGTCACTGTGTCTTTGTGCTGCAGCTTGTTCCTCCATTAAATAAAGGTAATTATTTCCACTCACAGAGTTATGCTGAAAAGGATTTACCTGTAAAGTGTTTTCAAGATACACTAACATTCACAAACCATCTAAAACCTGGGTTTTAATTGTGGAGCTGAAGATAAACATGTTTTTACAGCAACAGAAATGCCCAACTACAGTAATTCTAGCCTTTAATAAATTATTTTTTATGTTCCTGATACCCAAGATGATGAAGAACACTGCTTAAACTGGTTAGGACACAATAATACCATTGATTTCACACTTACTTCACAGTGGGGCTCGAAAATATTGCTGTTTGGGAATCAGCTTGCTTTGTTTTCAGGGTAGCTTTCTGTGTGTTTCAAAGAGCCTATTTCTTAAGATTGAATATAATATCATATATCAGCTAAACCTTGCTGTGAATTGTAAACAGTGAAGTAAAATGATTCTAGGCAAAATATGAGTTCTAGACGTGCAGCCACAATACAGCTCCTCTCTTAACATTTATGATAGCATAATGGGAATAAAATTTTACAATTTAATCCTGTATATTATTGCAGAGCTTACACAACAGTCTCAAATGTTACAAACATAAGATGTCATCGTTGGCAGGTTTGTGACTATGTGGTCATCACAATCTGATCAAACTTCTTTTTTCTTACAAATCCTACACTGTTGCCTTTAAGCTCTACTTTCCTTGGAAATCACATTCAAACCCACTTTAATTAGCTCTAAACAAAGCAGCAACTGTTCGTCTAATGATCCCATAACCATTATAACAAAAATTGTTTTCTAGGTGTATTCAGCAAGGAGGGGAACCTACTAGCTGTAAGTAACTAAGGTCTTTCAGACAATTTAAAATCATTTAAATTCCAAATTAATGTGTAATCTGAAAGTTGACACCGACTACCTGCAAATGTGGTCATGCAGCATGAAATCAAAAGCTTAGAATTTGGTAAGAGTTACTTGAAGGTATGCCCTGAGAAGTATTATCTGTAAAGTACTTTGCTATTCACAGCACCCAAGTGGTGGTTATACCTCTTAAGAGATGCTCTAATTAACAAAACTTTAAAGTGGATATTAAATAGTGCTGTCAGTGATTAAATGTGCCCAGTGGAAAAGTATAACAAAATAGTTAGGATCCTGGTGCTTAAAAGGAGGTGATAAGTCTTTGCTGTATTTGGCCTGTATTGGACCACATTCCTACGAGCAAAAAACTGAAGAATAACTTAATGAAAGTTGTTTTATACCATGTTTTAGATCCTTTCTATTGTGTTGTGACACTGTATATGGGCATTCATAAAACATGGTTCAGGCAAGTAATTATTCAAAAGTCCAAATTATATTATGTCTTACTGGAAAGAAAGTTGCACAGTTGGAGTTTCTGGCAGAAAAGATTTCTCCACAGCACTTGGCCCATGGTTGTATCAGATCTCATGGTGATTAATCTCAACTTTATTGTCATATTGATGCTCTCATTGGGGCAGAAGATGGGGGGGAGAGAGTGATAGACTCTCTAAATTCACTAAATCTCTAGATTCACTAAATCTAGAGCTATTCTGATAAGTATGATTTTTATTAATCTTGTCTATGTTTGTTTTTAACCTGAACAAAGTGACTGTAATAAGTTTATTCTGGCAAAGCAAAGGATGGTCTTTAATGTAGTTGGAGATGATAAAAAAAAATGAAGTGGATATCTTTAACATATGTCTACAGCTGGCCTCATATAGCTGGTTACTATTCAAAACAAATGCAACATCAATGTAATTGAATAGGACTGCATGAAGAAACTCTTCCCTTAAAAGCCAAATAAAACACAGTACAATGGCTTTAAAGACTGTGTGAAAGCACAGTGACTGTAAATGAAGTTGTCTGAAGCTTATGACCTTTATGATATAAAGACACTCCCTTTCTAGTATTGCTTCCCGTTCTCTGAGTTGTATGTCTACCAGTTTCTTCTTTCCCAGGTAGCTTGACATGCAATTCTTAATTCTTTCAATTGATACAGAATTAAAATTCTTTCTTGATGTTGTCCCATATTGCTATCACTTCTGAAAAAAAAAAAAGCTACCATGGTGCTGACAGTGCCATTTCCAATCTATTGCTGCCCTTTATCAGAGACCAAGTGACAGTAATAAAAACAAATGTCAGATTTGGACACAGAGCACTTAGTTTAAATTGCTTTGAAGCCTTGTTCCTCTTGATGCTCACACAACGAATTTCCTGGCACTGATAGGTTCTGCTCCTGATTGTTCCTCCTCCCTGGATGTGAAGAAAGCAGCCAGGGGTGGTGGTCTGCAGGGGCTCCACATGCTCTAATGTGGGGTTGAAGTCTGTGCACCAAACCTGTGACCATGAACATGGACTTAGAAATGAAATGGGGAATGGAGGAGAGGGGGAGAAGAAGGGAAGGGATAGTAGGGATAGTGAAACTTTTTTCCTTCCTCTTGCCTGAAAGGGAGGGATAAGGAATTTTTTTTTGTTTTTGGTGTCTGCAGAGAACTTTTTAAAAAACAGCCACTGCAAACTTAAACAAATGGAAAAACACCACAAAAACAAATTACAAACCAAAAAGACACAGCTGTTAGGATGTGAGATTCCTAAAAGTACTTAAAGCAAGCTCAGATATCCATCACTAGGGTGGATTATTAGCAGCTGCTGCTAAATATCTTTATTTTAATGTTAATGTACAAACATCTTGTTGAGGGGAGAACTATCTTTCTAGACCTAATGCTAAGTCTTCTAAGATTCCTTAATCTTGCTAGATACTTAGATTTTCAGTTCTCTGTACATTTTTAAAGGTGGTCTGAGTAATAATTCTGAAGAAATTTGTATTTCAAATTGCTTCTCATTTTATTATAGTGTTGCTAGTTTAGAGCCTTTTTGATACTGCTTTTCTTTTAAGATTTCTTGTTAATCAGATGTCATTACCAGTCAGGTAATTCGTTCGCTCACTTCCCCCCCTTTCTTGCCCTCCCCCTGCTCCCGGAGGGACGGAGAGGAGAATTGAAAAGAATGCAACTCCCACGGGTTGAGATAAGAACAGTTTAGTAACTAAGGTATAACACAAATCACTACTGCTACCACCAATGATGATAATGATAAAGGAAATAACAAGGGAAGAGAATACATCATCTCACCACCAGCCGACTAGGGTACCCAGATTACCTCCTCCAACCCTGCAGTCTGCTTCCGGCTAACTCCCAGTCACATCCTGGGCATGACGTGCTGTGGTATGGAATACCTCTTTGTTCAGTTTGGGTCAGGTGTCCTGTCTCTGCTTCCTCCTGGCTTCCCCTCCTCCCTGGCAGAGCATGAGGCTCACAAAGTCCTTGGCCAAACCAAAACATCACCTATCAGCCTGTTCCCAAGCTGAAAGTCAAAACACTGCACTGCACCAGCTACCAAGAAGGAGAAAAATGACTGCTACTGCTGAACCCAGGACATTATCCACCCCTTATTCCATACCATTCACGTCATGCTCAGATCTTTTCAATATACCATCACTCTTATCTCAGTGCACTCTTATCTTAGTGCATGGACCAGTCCCTGCTGAGTCCATCTGGTCCATGATGTCAGGCTCCATCTCTTGTAACAGTCTTCCAGAGCAGGAGAGACTGTGTGCAGTGTTCACACTCGTGAATATCCTGGGCAACAGTGTCCATTGCTAAGTTTCATGAGGCCATCTCTATGTTGCATCTCTGCTCTGATGGCCTGAAGTGCCATGGGCCCACCAGGCTTAAAATAATTCACTGTCCCCTTAAGCAGTTTCTGCAGCTTGTTGGTGGGGACTCCATGCAGCTGCCTTCCATCTCCGCTTCCAAAGCACTGGAGGGGCCCAGTGGACTAGATTTTGCCCATACTGTCACACACACCCTGCCACTCCCGGCTGTCCAGCCCTGGGGAAAACCTCTTGGTCACCCTGTATTGTCGTCTAACCCCAGACAAGACCCAAACCAGACTCTGCTTAACTTTTGAGATCAGACAGAATGGTTGTGGGTAGAACACAGCCTGTGTGTGTGCCAACATGCTGATCCCCATCACAATCAGCAGGCAGGTCCCAAGGACACCCAAAGGCCATTCAAAACCTTCAGAACTCTCAGTTGATGCTGCTGTGCTTGTCACTGGGGCTGGTGTAGCTGCCGTACTTGTCACTGGGGCTGGCGTAGCTGCTGTACTTGTCACTGGGGCTGGTGTAGCTGCTGTGCTTGCCGGCTCTCCCACTGCCAGCTTCTCTTTTCCTGAGTCCAGCTCTTCCTCCTCTGCCTTGCTGGGAAATGCTGCGTGGTCTCCTGCATCCTCCTGGGGCTCGGTGGGCGGCTGCCGGGGATTAAAATCACAAACTCACCATAATTCCAGCATGCAAATTCCTTTTAGAGAAAAAAATGACTGGTTTACTTGAGTGTTCAGGATTTGAGGCAGATAAAGCTCATTCCACTGATTTCAGGCGTCAATAGTTCAGGCCTGGCCTGCAGAGGTATGGTTGGTTATCCAGAGATTTTTTTATATCTCCTAACAGCATGAAAATAGAAATTATACATCCAAGTTTATCTCTTAAAATTATTAATTTAGTTCTGGAGATGTTGAAACTTTTTTCTTGTTACTTGGGTTGCCTTTCTTAGCCTGTGTAATGCTCCACAAACCCATTGTGATGGGAAATGATGCTATTGCTCACATGCCTTTAAAAATGCTATTCCTTTTAACATTGTAATTTCTAGAATTCTCGCTTTCTACAGAAAAACCAGTTTGGGGAATCTTGCAAGTCATGAGAATATGCTCTTCTGTGACTATGGAGTCACTGAACCTAATTCTGTTTATAACAACTTAACAAGCTCAGCTCTGAGGAGACATTCCACATCCTCTTCCCTCTGCTTTAAATAGGACATTTCTTAAGCAAAATCACATCTGCTTTCATGGTGAATGCTTCATGAAGGTAGGATTTCCCTTCCACATCTCTTCTACAGAGACATTTTCCATCTACAGTGATGTCTTTATGTCTTCCAAAAGAATATGAGCTTTGGATCACTACATTAATCTAGCTCTGAAACTTGGTCTTGGCACTGGGCTATTTTTCCATTTATTATTTTTACTCAGGACAAATGGAGCTTGTATTTGCACTCTAATTCTAGCAGGGTTGGGAGGGAAAATCCACGAAGAGCCTTAATGTGGTCATTAGTGTATCTTGCTCTCATTTTTGACTTTTTTCATATCCTCAACATTTTTATCTTTTGCTTCCTATGCGTATGTGCATGTGCTAGCTCTAAACCATTAAATCAGACCTCAAATGTCATCTTACCAACTTAGGGAGGAAAGAATCCTGCCCATCAATATAGAAAGTGAATCCTTGTATGCTACATAATAAAAGTTAGAATAGCAGGCTGTATCTGAAGAAATGTGAAGCAAATGTGGCACTCAGCTTTTTTGCTCAGACACTCAGCTGTGTCTTTTAGACTGACTCTTTCATCAATCAAATGAGGCTTTTATGGGTATTAGCAGGAGATGTGTATCTGTTAAGCCATGAACAGTCACTTGATTTGTGTATACATGATTTTATTACTTAAATACTGCATCCTTTATGAACAAGTATGGTAGCAGATAATTTTGGTCCTGGTATTGCAAGTTGCATATAAATGACATCAGTAGTATAGCCTGGCTCAATTAAGCAGGATCATTCTTCAGAAATTAATGAACTTTTAACTATAGTGATGCTGGGTGTTCCTCTGAATTACATTTTCTCATATTATATAACAACATAGAGCAAAGCTGTTGAAACACAGACAGCCTAGAACAATGGTCTTAGCTTGCTAAAAGCTAACTTTTTCAATCTCATTTTTTTTAAACAAATCATCTTTCATCTCTTTTCCGTTGCTTCTTGACTCTTTTACAGGACTCATATTTAAAATGAAGGACATTTTAGTCTATATGCTAAAAAGTAGAGCAGTTTGAAATTAAATAGTCCAAGCCATTTAATTCCAGAGTTGGGGAACGTGAATTGGTTAAAAAAAAATCCCCCCTCCTTGCTAACTAATGAAAGTTCTTTAACATTTCAGTAAATATTGTGTAGCACTCTAATTTTTACAAGCTCTTCATGTACATAGCTCCACTTTAACATAAAAAAACTCAATTTGTTTACCTCCTTTTGCTCATTCATTAGTGTGGCATCTCTTTGAGGGGAGGTTGTGGGGGAAAAGTACTGTGCATAAGGAGGGTACCTACTGGGATTGAGTTATAATTACCTTTTCCTTGGGCCTGGATTTCCTGTCAAAACTCACACAGGTCTTAAAGTACATGAGGTACTGTGGCACAGTGGACTTAATAGATCTAGGAGCAACCATTATAATTTTTACTTAAAGTAAGAATTTACATATTGAAAGGAATACTTTCCAACCTCAGACCAAACACTGAATGGGGCAAGACTGAAACCCAACTTCTTTCTCCAAGAGTTAGTGACTAGGCATTAGTGAAAGAACATGACTTCAGAATTAGATGGGTAAACCCGTTACCAGCAAGGTAATAGAGGCACCTTCAAACTGCTGCTCTCTCCAGTGAGCAGCATGTTAGAAATGCCTTTCCCAGGTGGAATACCACCTGTAAGAAAATTATAGTAGCTGCTCTCTAACTGATATTTGCTAGTAATGCGTGTTCACAGAAAAACTATAGGAAAACATACCAGTGCATATCGCCCTCACTAAAATGAACTGTTGCTACATTTTAATTTGACTCATGAAAGTTGATAAATATACTCAAATGCATCTGTGATTATTTATGGCATAATTGTTTCCTGAAAAATGTAGTTTCTTCCCATTTGAAGAAGCTGATGGCTGTTTCATACATGTTTTTGAGAGCAAGTTGAATGGGATTTTTAGCTAGAAAGAAACTTCTTGGCATAATGCATTTAATTTTTTTTTCTTTCATTTCCAGTGCAACAGTTCTTTTTTCCCCATTGGTTTAGTGCATTTCCGTAGAGTAATATTCACACTTCAGTTCTTGGGAGTTTTGCTTCTCTAGCCTTTATTTGTCTGACCTGACACCATGCTTTCAGTAAGCTAGTATTTCATATTCTTATCAAAAACAATTTTGACATAATAGCTAAACTTTAACTAGTAATATTTCACTTTGTTTAGCTGACTGGGGGGTCCAATGTGGAACAGTACTGTGGTAAAACATGAAAAGTTCAGTAGTTAATTCATAAAGCTCTTGAATAATTCATTGCAGATATGCCATTTAAACTCACAGTTAAGTTGTTAATAACAATGAGTAGTTCATTCCCAAGACCACTGTTACTCTGTGTCCAATATAAAATACAAGTAGGAAAAACTCAATAAGGAGTCATGTTTAATCTGTAAAACTTCTCCTATTGTAAAATGATTTTTTTCTTATTTTTTATTCTTTTTTCACGCTTGCTGTTTACGAATTGCTATTGCTTTCACCATCCCACATGGCTAAGTAACTGAAAAAAGGCATTTAGCTGAAGGATATTCACAATATTTAATTGCAAAAAGCAGTACTATGTTAAATGTCTTCCCCACGCTCTTGCTGTTTCTCCTTGAATAAGCTTTTCTAAAATAGTATGAGCATAAATGTCCTACTCTAGGAAATAAAGGATATTTTCCTGGAGACATCAGAATTTAGCACCTAGTGTGTTTAAGTAAAACTCTTGTTCAGTCAGAGAGTTCCCCTACTAAAGGTATGAGGAGTACAATATGGCTTAAAGGTTTAAAGGAAATTAGTGTTTCTTCCTCCTTGGTACTGCTCCTGACTGAGTACGGAATAAAAGGAAAATGGTATCTGTACATCCCAGGAGTTTCTGATGGAAGGAAATGGTCCTTCAACCTCCTCATAGAGGTGATAAGATGCATGAAAATTTAGTAACGTACAATTGGGCAGAGGGTTTAAGGAAATAATAAAATTGTTGAAAATTGTGGCATTTTTGTTCATTCTGAAATGCGTTACAAGTTTTTAACTGTGCTTTCCAAAATATCAGGATTTGATGTCTAGGGTAATAGTCACAGAAATGCTGGAGGAAGAAAAGTATTCATCTGTATCTCCGCCTTATAGCCTGGAGTTCATATTTTGCTAAGCTGTATTAGACTCCTTCTGCTTAAAGAACTTGTATCATTGTATCATTTACTCTTAGCAGTACTCATGTGCATCAGTATAAATCATAGAGTCATAGAATAATTAGGGTTGGAAAGGATCTTTAGCTCATCAAGCTCCAACCCCCCTGTCATGGGCAGGGATGCCTCGCACTAGATCATGTTGCCCAAGGCTATGTCCAGCCTGGCCTTGAACACTGCCAGGGATGGAGCACTTACCACTTCTTTGGGCAACCTGTTTCAGTGCCTCAGCACCCTCACAGTAAAAAACTACTTCCCTATGTCTAACCTGAATTTCCCCTGTTTAAGTTTGAACCCATCATCCCTTGTCCTGTTGCTGCAGTCCCTGACAAAGAGTCCATCTTTAGCACCCTTGTAAGCCCCCTTTGGATATTGGAAATAAAAAGCTACATTGCATGAAAATGCTTCTCCGTTGTGCCCTGGAAGAAATAATAAAAGACTTCAGCACTGTTGCAAAATGGATCTTAGACAAATGTGGATTGAATTTGACAGGCTGCAAATAAATGACAGTAGATAGGGGAAGTAGAGTTAGGGCTCTAGTAATTTGCAAAAATAAGCTGCCTTCAGATCTCTGCTTGCTTGAGGGCAGGAACAGAGACATATAAGTGGTAGAGGTACACAGAGCAGTAGATGGACTTGTTGCCTGTGAATCATAGAATCATAGAATAGTTAGGGTTGGAAAGGACCTTAAGAGCATCTAGTTCTAACCCCCCTGCCATGGCCAGGGACAACTCACACTAAACCATGTCACCCAAGGCCTCGCCCAACCTGATCTTGAACACTTCAAGGGATAGAGCATTCACAATCTCCCTGGGCAACACATTCCAGTTCCTCACCACCCTTACAGGAAATAATTTCATCCCTATATCCAATCTAAACTTCCCCTGTTTAAGTTTTAACCCGTTACCCCTTGTCCTGTCACTACAGTCCCTAATGAAGAGTTCCTCCCCAGCATCCCTATAGGCTCCCTTTAGATACTGGAAGGCTGCTATGAGGTCTCCACACAGCCTTCTCTTCTCCAGGCTGAACAGCCCCAACTTCCTCAGCCTGTCTTCATACGGAGGTGCTCCAGTCCCCTGATCATCCCTGTGGCCCTCCTCTGGACTTGTTCCAACAGTTCCATGTCCTTTTTATGTTGAGGACACCAGAACTGCACACAATACTCCAGGTGAGGTCTCACAAGAGCAGAGTAAAGGGGTAAGATCACCTCCTTCGACCTGCTGGTCACACTCCTTTTGATGCAGCCCAGGATATGGTTGGCTTTCTGAATTCACACTATAAATTGATTCAGGATAATGCCTAAATAGTTGTCTCATGCCTGTACTCTTCACAAAGATCATGTTTAGTGAAAAGTCAGCTACATTCATGAGCCCAACTACTGGGACCTGGTTTGAAGCTGCTGGTTACCATTCCTTAAGTCTGTGCCCTCAGGACTGTCCAATGTCTATATGTTTGCAGAGGACACTGCAGTTGTTCTTTGATATGTGCTATATGATTAACTGAGGCTTTACAGTGTAAATGCAGCATGCTCACTAAGGAAAAAAGGTTATGTATATAAAATTCACCGTGCAGTTCTTCAGCTTTATATTATCAGAGGAAGTTTGTTTAATTTGATTTCTGCTTTAAGTAGGTTTCCATGAGAAGCAAACATTGTTTCCAGAATCATTTAACCTTCTGGAGGTCTATATTTCATAATAATTTACTCCTCAAACACTCCTATGACATTTAAAAGGCTAAAGATTTCTCTTTTAATTGTTAATGCCGTTACAGGTTGAATTTTCTAGCGACAAAATTAAACTGCTTACTGTCAAACACCTTGGTGACAAATCACTGCTCTCAGTTTGCAACTGAAGGCTGTTGTGAACATTTGTGTTTGCATATGCCAGCCACCATTCTTCATGTTCTTAAACGTGTTTCTCAAAGAAAGCAAAATATAGGAATAGTTGAACCCAGTCAGATTAATTCACCTAGTTTAATATTTCCCCCCTCTCTACTGTTGGAGAGAGTAAGGATGAATTGAATCCTGATTGCTAGTGATTTAGTGGTTTGATCTGGTACAGTTGATGAAATTGCTCAGTCAGAGACTGTGAGTTTAGACCCCCAAACTGTGTTTTGTTTCTGATGCAGAATAGGTGTAACAGGGTTTGTTATTCTAGACAAACTGACAGATGCTTTCCTCCTACTTGCTAT